ACGCGAAGCTGATAAAATATTTTCAACGTAAATATTATAATGGGGCTAAATATTTAGGCTTTCACGTGACTTCCCTTCTACGCAAAAAAAAAAAAGAAAGAAAAAGACAGATAGAGACGAGACAAGTAACAGGTCGAAGATGCTGTGAAGGTGTATCCTTTAGTTTAAATTTCTAGTATAAAATACGATATGGCACTTATGAACTTGCAAAGGCTGTTATTTCATTACCACGCATTATACTCGCTATCGGCTTATCGTAACGCCGACACGCAGTGCTTCGGTCTTTTTTTTTATTTTGTCCAAGCCTATAGAGTTTGCAAAGCAGGCTGCGAAGAGAACGGTGCGCTGCTGACCCTCGGCGGCAGAAAGTCCACGACGGTAATGTAGGAGCGCACTATCTGAGACGGCAGCGTCACAATTGAGCACCCCCATTGCGAGGCTGGGAACAAAGGCTCCCCGGCGAAGCGAGACCCTTTGTGCTCGCTTCCGGAGACTCAAATTAGGCGCCGCTCCGATGAGTCCTGGCCCGAAAAAGCAGCGGGCTGCGATTCCGTCCAAGGTCGCTTGCTCGTTGGTGCTGGACCGCGCTACCTTTTATCGTCTTTATCAAAATGAAAGCCTTCGATGCCTCATGAAACGCGAAAATTGGCCACCGGCGACTTCGAGATTAGCCGAGACCTGACGAAACAAGGTAACACCGTCTTCGACAACAACACGACCAATGAAAAAAAAAGAGCAATAAAAGTCGGTCAAAAGTCAGTGAATTTGTGAGTGCAGCCAGCATAGCAAAGGTCACGCGACCTCAGTATAACATGAAGAAAGGGAAAATAGACAACCACCTGTTTGTAGCACGAAGTCATAAGAAATCCATGCGGATTTCTCAGAAAAAAAAAAAGCTTCTTAGTTGCCGAGAAATTCGTCCTGGTACAGAGGCGTTGGTCTGGAAAGGCGCTGGTCCCGGGTTAGCACCCGGATGAGGACGAATTTTTCGGCAACTAAAAAGCTTTTATTCCTGAGAAATCCGTTCGGATTTCATTGTGGCTTAGTGTTACAAACGGGTCGTTGTATATTTTCCTTTCCTAATCCTTCCGCCACCTTGCGGGTGTCCGCAGAACTCCTTTCCATATATATCTTGACGTCACCGTTTGACGTCTCACATCACCAAATTTGTGATGTCACGATTACGTGGCACATCATGTCGCATGATGCCATCATCGCATTAAATTATTATTTTTTAGACAACACGTAATTTACACAACTGTCATGGCACTGAAACTAATGTCGAAGAAACACGCCACACATGAATTCTAGCGCCGTAGTTACTATTTAACTACGGCTAACGTAGAAGTCTTTAGTAGTTCAAAACTTCCATCAAATTTCTTTAAAGCTTTTTTTTCTTGTGCAGCGGAGATTCTTAAACTGCAGACACAGACGCTGCATTATACCGAGTTCGGGTGGTTCGACATGGCTGGTACGCTGTGTACGTACGGAAATACCATACCGTAGTGATCGGGAATTCGCATTTTATTATCTGCAAGATCTAAATTAGCCACTCTAATCAAGTGAGCACGTTGCTGAGCACATCTATAGCAAGATGAGAGGCAAGAAGGTTTCTGGATCATGGTGCAGTTAACATGAAATGCTCCCATGAAAGCATCCCATAGTGCAAACCGTACCGTAACGCTAGGTAATGCAGTGTCATTTACGGTATACAGGATTATCTTTCCATTTTAAGCTTGCCAAGAATTGATAAGCTTTTAACTGCGCGACTTACTCGATGCGTGCTAAAATTAATGATGGTACTATAGCGGCTAATACTTTCCTTGCCGATTACAAAGTGAAAGAAAGCGACGTCCCGACCACAATGATGTGGTATATCCGTTCTTATCGGACGGTAAACCGGCACAGCTAAAATTAACTCTTTTCCCGAAGACTACTGAAAGAAGGCAATAAATTTCTTATAGAACAGTTCATGAATCTAGCAAATCCATTGTTTCACTTCAGTGTCCTTTTTTCAATGACCGATAGCAAATACGGGTGGTGACGCATCTGTAAAGCGTGCTCTGCCTCAAGTAAAGTGCACGTGCGGAGAAAAAAAACTTGCTGAGCATGTATATTGGGAAAAACAACTGTTCAGTAGAAAAGCTGTTTCGTACAAGAATAACAAAACTGTCAGGTCCGGTTGAATGCAATAATTATTTTAAAATCTACTATTTATATTTTAGTCAATTATCATAATTAGACTACATAATGAATTTGACAATATCTTGCGTGTTTTGCTAGGCGTGTCCATCTTGAACAAGTTTTAGATGCAAAACAGCTCTTTCACTAGCCTGTGTAACGCTGTCCCTCCCTCCGCACCACGCTCTCCTTGCTGCAGTTGGGGCGGTGCCAAGTAGGTGGTGGTAGTGGTTAGAAGATGAGAAAAGGCACCTAATTTCTGCAACCCGGTCGGGAGCACGGCGCAGTGCCTGCCAAGTAGGTCACTCCTTCCCTCGCAGTGCGCGCGCGTTGACGTCACTCTCTCCCTAGCCTGTCACCGCTCGGCACGTGTAACCTCGCTCGCTTCACTCTCTCCACCAATTGCAACGCTCGAGCCCACTCCTCACGTGGGCATCATCTCGCCCGCACCACCTCTCGCCATCTGTCGGCGTGAAGACACGGGCTGGTGGGTGCGCGCGCCTCGAGAATCTCACGGCACCAACAAGGTGGACAAAGCGCCGCTGCCTGCCGCGAGATCGCGCCGACGGGTGGGACGCCGTCGCGGCATGCTTCTCGCTAGTGTGCGCGTACCTTTCCGGGCTGTCGCCGGCATTGCGACGGTTAGCGAAGCCGATCGTGTTCGCGAATGGCGACGTCAACACCGACGAGGCGCGAGCCAGGGAAGCCGAACGCAAGCGTCGGCAGTGCAAGACCAGCGACACCGACGAGGTGCGAGTCAAGAACACCGATCACGTTCGAGAACACAGACGGCGCGCAGGAAACACCGACGATACGCAAGCCGAGCACAAGCGTCTTCAACGTGTCCTGCCTCCCGTGTCTTTGCGTTTCAAACAAAACGTTTACTCGAGTAAACGTTATATTACACCGAGTTTCACTTCAATCCGTTCTTCCAGCACCCGCGCGACGCCCGTTTCAACCGGGTCAACGCCGTGCGCACCGCTGCTGCTTCGCATATCATCAGGGTTCCCTTCGGGGAGATGGTCCATAGTTTTTGTTAGAGTGGCACCTGTTTTAAGGTGTTTCGTCTCGAATTGTGGAACGGGATACGTTGCTATTTATTTTTGCGTCCAAGCACAAAACGCTGTTTAACGTACCCGAAGAGCAGCCTAATTTTACCGCATTTAATTATGTCTATATTGATAGTTGTTATGTCAGATTTCATTCCAAGTGAAGGACATGCAAGGTCATCCGTACAATTAGTCAGGTAAAGCATGTACCGTAAAATACTTTATGAAACTGTTTAGCGAATTATCGTCAACTATCTACTAACAGGAAACGCGGCGGGCGCCAGCGCTTTGGCAAGGAAACTTGACTTTGTCCTACCAAAAAAATCTCTCTTGTTGGAACGCTTGCGCCGGTGACCTTCCCTGTTCAACGAGAGTACAGCTCATATTTATTTATTTATTTATTTATTTATTTATTTATTTGTTTGTTTGTTTATTCATTCATTCATGCTGTAGCCGCATTCGGGGCCATAGTAGGAACGGGAAAAAATGTAAGCAATTTGTACAAATGGCCAAGCATGTACAATGAAAGAGGGAATGAATTGGGGGGCTAGTTTTTTTTTTTTTGTTAGGCAATGACACAATTTAATCAGATCAACAGACAACAATGTCGAGGGAGGCGTAACAGATATAAAGTTGTATTTTTTCGCTAGTAAGTAATGTATATCAAAAAGTAATGTCCTATCAAAAATCAACTTGTCGATTGTAGAGACCGAACATCAAACCCTAGAATAGCACGTCGAGTATTCGACCATTCCAAATAGTCATAAGCAGGCACACGTATTTATTTAAATCTACCCTTGATTGTAGATCACGTGGACTTTGGTGCCTGCGACCACGCGGTAGTTTTTTTTTTTTTTTAGTGCTTGACAGTACAACGAAAGTATGCTTAGCAGGAGGTGAGTGACGCTGATGCTGCGTTGGCGTGGTGCAGTGAGCATGCGTTTGTTTACGCAGTGCTGCAGTCGTTGAAGCGAACACCAAGCCTCCTACAAAGATTTTTATAATAGAAATAAAAAAAGGGCCACCGACCACAAAAAAAAAGATCACGAAAAAAAAACGTTTCGGCTCCCTTGATAGGAGCCTTCTTCAAAGAAATTCATTGTGAAAAGGCTGCCGCTAGGGGTACCGAAACGTATTTTTCATGGTTGGTGTCCTTTTTAAATTTTATCATGCAACTTTCACACCTGACGCACTCCCGTATAAAACCTAGACTTCAAGGATTGTCATGCAAATGTCTGGCGCTGGTTGCTCAGCTTCTACGATGTAAAGTGTCTACGAGACCTGGAAACGAAGGTGTCCAGTCGACCAGAACATAAATTATGAGTAGAACTACTGTTGCGAGGATTTGAACAACCATCATCGTCCTTTAATTAATTGGTAGTGTTTTACGTCCCAAAAACCACGGTATGACTATGATAGGCACCGTAAAGGAGGATTGCGAAATCTCGACCACAAGGGGTTGTTTAACGTGCCCATGTACTTTAAATCTAAGATCACAGGCCTCAAGCATTTTCGCTTGACGCCTTTCATATGCATTTCATTACTAGTGGTAAAAAATCTCACATTGGACAGTGTTGGCCATAGATAAAACACACGCGCGTTGGCTGAATGACAACAGCGTCAACGGTTTTTTTTTTTTTTTGTAGCGGACGTTGTAGGGAACTTAGGTGCACAGCCACTATACTACTAGAAGCTCGATGGATTCCGCTTGTGCCACCGCTTGTTTTGTTGAGTGTGTGTTGTGGTTGAGTGTTTGCGGTGGTGTCGCAGCATGGCTACCCGTCTCGGCGTCGTTCGCTGCTGGACGATGCCAAATTCGAGACGCAAAAACGCCGGGAGGCCCAGAAGTTGCGATCGCAGGACGAAGAGGCTCTGCTGGAAGACGTGAGTACACATGCCGTACGAGGATCCCATGCCCTGAGTCAACGGTATACACCGTGGCTCATGTTTCTCTATTAGAGGGAGCCCATTATTTCACCTCAGCTTCAGACGCGCAGATTGCGGCAAATAACAAGCGTCTCAGTTGACGCAGAAATGAAAGCAGAAAGATGGCGCGGTATTTCCGCTTGTTAAAGTCATCAGCCTTCATATTTATTGCAAATTTGCATGACCATAATCTTGCGCTTTTAACATTGTCAGCACATGCTTGATGAGCTGTCTACGATTGAGATTGTTGTTTCTATTCAGCACATGTGATGTTACTGAATATAAGGCATAGATAAATTACATGTAAGTGCATGTAAAAATATGTGTAGACTCCACCCGCGGTAACTAGCGCGACCACCCCGTGCGTAATAAGCCTTGCCCTTAGATGAACTCCTCATAAGTTAGATACTGTAGTTCATCATATTAACCTTTGCATATAAATCATCGTAATCATCATCATCGCTTGTATCGCCGGGTGTTTGGCTGGCGCATATACCGCCCCCTGTGGGCACGACAACGTACGTAGCGCTTTGCGCAAGGCTCATAACAGAAACGTGTCTGTAGCACAAATTTCCTCCAGCATGCGACGCATATCCCTGGAATATGTTTAGTGCATTCCTCCAGCATGCGATGCATATCTCTGGAATATGTTTAGGGCAGTCATTGTGAAGCTAGTTTCTCTGGAGGTTTCGGCCCTTTCGACGCAAGTGCTGCAGCTTGAAATGCACATGGCGATGCGACCGCCGTGGCTCGTGGGAGCGCAGATCTTGTCTTCGGGTGGCGTGGCGGAGGACATGACCATCAGCGTGGTGTTCGGACTGAAAAAGGGCGTCCAAGACCTGGCAACCATCCTCAAGGAGGTCGAGGTACGTCACCACGTATGCTCCTTCGCCGTGACAACGTACATACTTTTTCCCCCATTAGCATGCATCGCCTTGTGCCTTCGTAAGTGTAATATGATCACCTCACTTTATCGGACTGTCGCAAGAATATAAATTTGACATAAGCAAAACGATAGACCGCACTGACGTAGCAAAAAACTGAAAAGTTCTGAACTTGCCCAATGATGTATATTCAGATCAAATCAAAGTTCATTTTCCATACTGTCGTCCAGAAGGAAGTACTGTGAAAAAAAAAGCTGTGTTTTAAAACAGCTTCACTTGTTCACAGGCCCGATAAAAAAAAGCATATAAAGTATAAAGGCGGAGCCGTAGCAGCACCGCGGTAAACATGGTGATAAGAGGGCGTGCATATTGTAGTTGCGATTTAATACAGATATTGAAAACAAAAGTATTACACTGTGTTGAAAACAAACATGATAACGCGACCGCCATCCGGAAACAAAATACAAGTCACATAATACGCTACTTAAAAAAAGACAGACTACAAAATTATACAGTATATAGATCATAATGGCAGAAGCACCTACATGCAATCGAAAAAAAGGAAATATTTAACTAAAAGTTTTATTTTGTGACAGAAAAAAGTAGGTAACTGAGCATGCTATTGCTTTAAGTGTGAAGTATTATACATTTGCATATAATTCATGGATGTCGTGAGTAAATAGTTATGTGAAGGTGGGTCTATTTTTTATTTAAATACATAATTTTATTTTTGATAGCCATCTCTAATAAATGACAACTCTATTGTTAATTAATGTTATTGTAATATAAGATGTAGGGAAATCAGATTAGCTAAAGTAGGCTCGAGAAGTGTGTGCCGCTGCATCCTATATACGTCGATCGCGTTTTCTTCCACTCTTTACTATACGCTATCGTACACTGACATGTGTGCGGTGCTGGTCTATAGATCGACTATTATACGGATGTGTGTCAGTGCCGCCATACTGGGCTGTTAACCTTTGCGTTTCGCATATTTAACAACGAAGGTGACCGTATAGACGCGCGCATACGCGTGAAAGCGGTTGGGTTGATGCGTACGATGTTTCACAACCTTGTTAATTCGCTTCGCGATATACCAAAACAAGACAACGTCGACTTAACATACCAATATGCCTTACGAAACATAGTCCACAGCCGTGGTCGTACACCGACGAGACGATGCCCGTGCAGGCCTGCGGCGGACGCGTGTCCCACCTCGAGACCCGCACGGGCCGGACGGCCGAGGCCCCGCTGGAGGCGTTCGCGTCCCTGCGTGGCATGGCGCGGGACGGCCTGCTGCGACTCGGCAAGACCCTGGCACTCGGCGGCCTCGGAGACATGCGCGTAGTCAAGGACGTCGGATCCGCGCTCGCAGGAGGTGCAGGGCAGGCGACACACTCTTTACATCATACTCCGGTCTCTTATAGTGGCCACCCACCGAATTGCGGTGTTCGGGGAAACATTGCAGTGAGGGGCCTATTGTGTCTGCACAAATACGGACTGTGAAAAAATATATATATATATTTCATTGCGAAGTAGATGTCGTCGGCTATAAACCCCGCCCACTGCCGGCGACCGCCATTTTGATATAGCACGTGTGACGTCATGTGCTTCGTAGAGCGGTGCCAACGTCTTCTACGTAAGTTTCGGTCACTGCAAGTCGTTCATTTTTAAGTGTCCAACCGAAGAAAGCTCTAATTGAACTCTCAGCTGACCATGAAACAATATCGTCGTTCGCCGGAATACAGAAGATTGCAAAACAGGCGGTTTGTTACGTCATGGTTCGCGAGTGCACCACTGTCGTCAGACTCTCGAGTCGCTATAAAAATACTCGTTATGAATTAGGTTCTCGACCAAATGCACTGAAACTTCGTCAGCTTGTTTGTGAACACCCAAGGATTAAGCCGCATAACACAGACTATGAGTGAGAAATGTGCGTCATAGCCCCTTTACAATTTCAAGCCTATGGTTGGACTGACGGCATGGCAGTGTGAAACAAGAAGGACGTGTCTTCCCGTCAGTAGCAGCACCCGAGGCCAAGAACTAGGCCTATTGTAGTCGTTCTGCAGTCATTTCATCCACTTGCTCGCCCGCGCACTGTAGTTCATCCATGAAATCAGTCAACTGCGGTTGGCTAACAGACATTTGGTGTGTGTCGCAGACATCTGGTTCCCGCTGCACATAACCGACCTGGACTTCTGCACTCATGTGCTGACCAAGTTTGAGCCGGACCTGGACAGCGATCACCCGGTGAGGGTTGCTCACTTACAATACTAAAGCGTATCTACGGACTTGACCAGCGGAAAGGACGACACGAAAGACGCACATATAAGTAGAAATAGTGCTGAACTGCCAAGTGGGCTTTGTTCAATAAAGGAGCTTTTTTTTAATTCCATAGCGTCACTCGTGATTTCCGTTAAGAAACTGCACGCTCAAGTTCAGCCAATTATGAGAACAAACATGTCTGGTATCTTAAAAAAAAAATACTTGCGCGTCGTCTTTCCTCCTGGTCACCTTCGCAAATGTCGCACCAACTTGCCCAGGCAAAAGTACTCTATATGAAGTTGCGTGTCTTTGTCTCGGGCGATGTGGTGTGCGCTCAATAAAAGCTGCGCTCAATAAAGGCCCGTATGCAAGTACTATATGAAGTTGCGTGTCTTTGTCTCGGGCGATGTGGTGTGCGCTCAATAAAAGCTGCGCTCAATAAAGGCCACGTATTGCGTTGGACGAACAACTGGTGGACAGTAAGAGCCACAGAATACTTATCAAGAAATGAAGAACGCAGTCGGGGAAGGCAAAGAGTTACATTGATTGAGTGATTGATTTAATTTAAGAAATTCGCAGGGATAATATAGAATCAGTTCACAGAGTATAGAGTAAAATGAGATAACTGAAATAGTCCGTCGTCTTGTGAAGTGAAATAAGCTGAGAATGATGATGAGGGTGATGAGAGGCTGTCGACATGGCGCTGATAGCACCCGGCAGAGCGATGTCCCCTGTGCGTAAAAACGCTCTCATTCACAACGCTTGCCTCGCTCCCGCAAGTGACTGAGTTTGTGAGGTTCGCTCTATTGCAGGGATTCTCGGACCCGGCGTACAGGCAGCGCCGCAAGGAGATCGCCCAGATTGCTTTCGACTACAAGCAGTAAGTACTCTCCACCGTTGAAAAACACGCTGTAAAAATGTATGGCTGAACAATGAACGTAGGGCTGCTCAGGCAGCGTGTACACCCAGGTATTGCCGTTCGTATAGTTCCCACCGCTGTGTTAAAGACAAAAATAAAAAGCGTTGATGACTGCAGTGTTTGAAGTAAGCAAGCAGGGTTTCTCCGGCACGACAGGAATCTTTTCAGGGAGATTCGCGAACTCTTGTGTTGCGATATGTGCGCCGCCTTTTACTGCGCTTTATCGACTGCCTGCTTGTTACGGCAGTTCAGATGCGTGTCGTCTGCAGCGAGTTCAGTCGAATTGTTTACCATATATCGGATAAGCGATGCCGCACCGGCGAGGCGCAGAGAGAGGAGCATTAGCTCGTGCAGCTCCGGTGTCAGCCGTATGAATCCGAAATATTTTTAGGGATGTTTAGTTAAATATTACGATTTATAATTGTTTACTTCAATCAATCAATTTATTTGGGATTCATTACTGCAAGATAATGAACACAAGGACAAGAACAATAAGCTGCTATTCAGCAGCTTGACAAAAGTCCTTGCCCTAATTTTTGACAGCAAAAAAAAAAAACTACATTCACCTAAACACCTCCAATTATGCATTTCTACTAAACATTTTTGGTTATATCTAGCAGAGTAGTTAACAAAAATAAAGACATACATCAAAATCAATACACGACAATAATAAAATAAACGGTTTGCTTGAGCAAACGAAAGAAAAGAAACATAAAACAGTGCATAACGGAAGCGGTAATAACGTATAAAAATGCGCAGATTATTTCACACAAATGAAATGTGCAAAGTTTGTATACGCAATGAAGACTAATATGCATCGTATATAAGCATCTTAACTATACTGATAGAAGTATGACGCATCTGTATATTTTAAAGGAAAAAAAAACTAAAAAACTGAGAAGCCTGTATGACAGACATATCGTTTGATAGCAATAACATTACGCACACTTCTGCTTATTATGTTACTTCACACACTTTAACTTGCGTTTGAGCAATGCTAGCCCTGCTATCGCCAGTAATTAGCGATTCACGCCACTCACCACCAATCACCCCTTGCACACACACTTTTTGCTAAGTATGTGCATACGTACACGCACGCACATACATACACGAGGAGGGGTGGAGCCCCGTGCTTTACGCTCTGCTCAAACTTCGCAGGGGACAGCCCATACCGAGGATCGAATACACGCCGGAAGAAGTTCACACCTGGTGAGTCGGCGAGGATGAATCGACGAGCGAGTACCGGCAGCAGTGCCTAATCGCTGCGGCGTTTTAAAGCGATGCTACTGGCGCATTTCCATACCTATTTTAAAACTTTATATGCGGTTTTTCTCCGGGAAATGTTGTATTGACAACATATGCTCGGATTTAAAAAAAAAAGTAAGATCGAGAGCACAATCGAGGAGACATTCACACATAGTGCTGATGTGCAATCATTTCCTGGTCTCCGGTCAATCACTTCCTACGATGACGTGTAACCGATATACCGTGAATGATAACTTCTAACTGAATCTCAGCGTGCGTGTCTTGTGCAGGGAGGCTTTCCTTAGTTGGGCTCCAACCGGAAGCACGAATTGTTTGAAACCGCGTGCACCCAAAACAGGCGTGACAAGAGCGGCATGCTAATAAAAAAGAAAGGGAGCTAGCTGTGACAACATTGTCTTAATCTATTGTGATACGAATGTGTTTTCTGCAACTTTCTCGCAATGAAGATAGTTATAGCGCGAGAACAAAACAACGACACAGAGACAAGAAGGACACGAGCGCTAGAAGGACACGAACGACACAAGCGAAGGACACGTACTTCCTGTCCTTGTCTCTGTGTCGTCGTTTTGTTCTCGCGCTATAACCATCGTCATGCCATACCAACTAGCCCAAGCTGCCACACTTCTAAGTTTCTCGCAATGTCAGGGTTAATTTGGGACTGAATAAAAAGTGGCAAACCATCTTTTTTTGCTGCTTCTTTGGGTCTGAAACTGTCACATATGACACTAGGATGACCGCTACGAGTCACCAGTACGCGCAGCACGAGATGTGCATTGGCGAGAACGTCTACTCCACGATATGCACGTTTCATCGTTTGCGTGCGTCGCAGGGGCGTCGTGTATCGAGGTATGCGCGAACTGGTGCCGACGCACGCCTGCCAGGAGTTCGCCGACGCCCTGGCGAGGCTGGAGAGGGAGCTGCACTACGGTCCCGACGCCATCCCGCAACTCGACGACGTGTCCAACTTCCTCAAACGCAAGTAGCACATTCCACTACCCGGACTCCGGCGCGAATGCAATATTATGATCATAATCATCAGCCTGAGTACGCCAACTGTAGGGTAAAGCGCCTCCCATATATTTGCTACAAATTGTGGCAAGGGGGTTATATGCAGTGAAATAGCTTTATAAGACGTAGTAAGAGGGCACGCTGGACGGGTAAATACGTAAGGTGGCCTTACTCATTTATTCATGAACCACTTAAATAGTATTAACAACCAAGTAGATTTAAAATTATTAGAGTTGATTCAAAAAATTTATACGAATTTCTCAGAAAGCTCAGCTCCTTGGTTGACTAAGAGATTGCCTTTGTCTCTCCATTGATTGAGCTAACTTTGAGATTGAACTAATTTATTTTCGTTTCACGTAGCTTGTTTCTGCTACCTTTAACGGAAGTTATTTTCAGAGCTTTGATACCCCTTGCATAGACATATCTTAGACAACAAGCTATGTGACTACGTTGCGCAATTCTGTATACCTTTCAATACCCATTGCTCTATCGCCGCTTATTATAGTGTGTTTGACATCTGGTCCTTGCATGCCTCCACAGTTGTCATCAACTTGCCTCGTCAAACAGCGTGCACCTTCGACGGAGCAAGATTGGCACAAGTGACCGGATTGCGACAAGCGGTGCTGTTTTTCTTGAGCACACCGATATCGAGCGTGCCGAGCACATTCCATTATCCAAAACAGGGGTGGCCGGCAGTAATTCCTACAAACAGCTCTTTTGGAACAACTTCAATAAACATACTGTGGCTGGCAAATGCACCAAAAAAAAAAAAGCGTTATGTGCATAGCCACACCTGCCGATAAGCAATGAACTAGCGTTTCGGATGAGCCAACACCAAGGTGGCCTGTTTTCCGCCGGTATCCCAGCCACCCCTGCCTTGGAAAATGGAACGTGCTCGTGAATAACCGTGACCACCGCGCGTCGCATTCTTGCGGCTCGCGTTACCAGTCAATGTGCTATACGAAGCGAAAGTTGGGCGGTTCATGCGTAGGAAGTAAAAACAGCTGAAATATAGAGACAAGGACTGAGTACGAGACAGAGTTCATCGCCCTGCCGGCTCTTCCTCAGTCTTTGTCTCCATCTTCGCGCTGTTTTCACTTCCCAAGCGCCGAGACTGCACCACATCGCTCCCTTCTGGAACGCGCAGGTCGCAGCGGCTTCACACTGCGTCCGGCCTCGGGCCTGCTGACAGCGCGCGACTTCCTGGCGTCGCTGGCCTTCCGCGTGTTCCAGTGCACGCAGTACATGCGCCACGGGTCGGCACCGCACCACTCGCCCGAGCCGTACGTGACAGCATATAGGGGACAGTGCATGCATGGGCACGCCACTGGCGTGAACCGTGGCAACTATAGTGCAGTCCGATGCACTAATTGAATTCAGAGGAACTAAAAGCTGGAATATTTCATCCCTAGAGTTTAAAACCGCACGGAACTTCAAGCAGCCCAGTATAAATTCTTTTTATTGAGTACCAGGATGTCAAACAAACTTGTAAGGATACCTATAGGTGTACATTATAAAAAACTTTGTTTATGAAGAGTACAATGTTTTTTAGTTATGATGTTACTGAATGCTATTCTGTTGAAACTCTACAACTGACCTGTGCTTGACTTTTAACACTGGACCAGAAGCTAGCGTTCCCTCGCTGTCGGTACTGATAATTCTATGCGTGCGAAGTAAAATAAAGCACTTGACTCGATCCACTTCAATACCCGTGCATTTGGGCCGAAAAAATGGCGTTAGCTTCCTAATGCCTTCAGATTTAGTGCCATTTGCACGAAGTGTCACGCGCAAAACTGAAATGGCATCCGCCAAATGCCATTCGTAATCTGATGCCTTCGCTGTAACTGACTCAACAGATAAATGCGTACTCTCGAAGCCAAAGCTTGCTGAGTGCAGCACGCACAAAACATATGAGATATCACATACCATGTCAAAATAATTTATAAATGACTTTTAACACGCGTAGCACGTTATTTCCCAGTTGCACAACAGCAAAATCCCTTTCGGAATTGCAGCGGCGTCGGCATGACAGGCACCACGTTGGAGTCCAGGCTTCGTATTTAACACGCAAAGGACGAAGCTGCTGTGGTCAGTTGCGATGTTGTAAGAGACCGGCACGAACTCGGGCTAATGGCACCATAATGGGCTTGCTTTTACGTTTCGCTATTCGTGAACGAGGAGTAGAATTGTTAAAATGCGCGCTTATATTTTATTATTGGCCTGAAATTGCTCATTTAAAAATGCCACTGACATCACTGACGGTGAAATGCGATTAAATTTTATACGTGTAGCTCGGCCAGTGAATATGTCATCCAGTAATTCAGTGTCTTGTCCACAGAATTTCGTTTCTTGTGCTCGTGTGACGCGACTTATAAACGGTGTAAGAAGTTGACGGCGTAGCACCTGTTCTTCTCGTTCATATGTGACATTACCCGAACATTATGTATTCAATCCGCAGTCGTCCTGAAACCCCCTGTTCCTTCCAAATGTATCCCGAATGCGCAGGGACTGCGTCCACGAGCTGATCGGCCACGTGCCCATGTTTGCCGACCCGGGTTTCGCCCAGTTCTCCCAGGACATCGGCCTCGCCTCGCTCGGAATCGCCGACGAGGACATCGAGAAGCTGGCCACGGTTCGCGATGAATTCTCTCTCGAATAAGCGCGCTCTATACGATGTCTCACTTTGATGAAGGCTGCACGAGGAGTCAGATGACAATCCTGTAATGCCCGTGCTGCCCTTACTTATCCTTGCGAAGACGAAATGTGAAACTTGCTGGGACCAAACTTGCTATCTTCAAATAACGCGTCCGATGCTCTATACAAACTGAGATGGTGCGGCGATCATACCACCGTCCACTTTACGGGGCATAATACGTAATTTTAAGCCCGGGATTATTAGGCAGCACCACTAGTAGCCATAACGGCGAGTGTGTTCCACAGTTTGGTGTTCCACACTCGCCATCGCGGCTACTAGCAGCGTTGACTAACACTCGCAGATTTCAAACGCACATATACCTCATAAACTTGACGGGGGTATGACCACCGCTGTGGCTCACTTGATGAGCATCGGACGCGTTATTCGAAGGTCGCAAGTGTCCACTTTTATGTCTTCACAATTGCATTACAATTGCTATTTATAGCATCTCACATACTCTCCTTGGCATCATTGTCTGTTAGTTCTTACTAACGTTGTGTCTAGCAAAGAAAGACAAACCCTTCCACTTCTTTCGTTCATTCAACTAGTAGAGTGCTCAAGGGAAGCGCCTCTGTATGTCTCCGCAGCTCTACTGGTTCACGGTGGAGTTCGGGCTTTGCAAGCAAGCGGGCGAGATCCGGGCGTACGGTGCTGGTTTGCTCTCATCAGTCGGAGAACTCAAGGTGAGAGGCGACTTCAGTTTCGTCACTGTGACCGCCACTCCTCACAGGGTGAGCTTTTCACAGGTCAATAAGAGGTCGCCTTACGTTCAAGAAAAAAACCCGCACAAATACCGACTTAACGGAAAGTTTCTCTCTTTGTTGGTGCGACTAGAGTTACTGCTTATGCTTCTTTGTGCATGCGCCCGAATAGACACCACCTCTTTGAGGAGCAAGGCATTTCATAGGGTCCAGGCTTGTCCGTTGTCCGTGCTCACGGTGACGATTACGCTGATGATGATGCAAGAGACCCACTATACGACATGATGACGACGCTGATGACGACGAAGAATAAGTGCGCTCTAGACCACAGATTCCCTTTCTGCCACGGTTGAAAACGAACGTGAGCGTGCGCGAAGGGCAACGCCGACAAAAAGCTAGCCTGGAGGTGAGAGCTCAGGGCGCAGCGGCGAAACAGCAACACCGATAACTAGCTGATACCCCGTAGTTGAGGGCGAGAGAAACGGTGGCTCAACGAAAAAAAAATGTATATATTGTACAGACACGTTGTCGCTCACATGCGCGAGTGGGCAATGTCACGGGTGATTTAATACAAGAGCGATCTCCAGTGGTGCGCCCATTCCTCATGATTAGTTTCGCGGAGAAGAGTTCATTATTATGCTGTCATGTTTCAAAGAAAACCAGAAACGAATTTATGGCAACTACGTACTAGCGATGCGATCGCAGGCTGAGGTGGTGACTTAACCATCCTCCTCGGCCTCACTGCCCTTTGCCAGCCACATGACTTTGCTATGCTATGAGCAGCTTCGCAGACGAACTGCTCTCTGTGGCGCATACCCACGCAGTCTGGCACGGACGATCCGGGAGCTTTGCAAAGCTTAAACAAGGTGAGCGCAAAAGGCCGCGGCAGTGTTTTCGCTGCGCCAGCCTCTTTACCACTCGGATGTTGCGAGATTATCAAAACATGCCGACAAGATTGCTGGCCATTGTCCCCACGCAGCACTGTGTCCGGGGACCTTGACTTCGTAGGAGTACGTGCACTCTGCGAAGTGCTCGCTCGAACCGAAACGAATGAGAGGAGCCCAACAACCGGACGTCGAAGACCTTGCGAATTGAAAAGGCAAACAGCCAGCGCGTGCTACTTCCAAGTCTGAACAAAATGGAAACGTCACTAGGCTGTTTGCATTCATTTTGTATAGCTTGAAAGCCTGCGTAGAATTCTCTGTCTCAACAAACACATTTATCTCTCTTTCTCGAGACTTATAACAAAGGTAACCGAGGAACATGTACGACGAAATAAAGAATAATAAAATAAGAGCGATAAGGTATTACGTGCATAGTGAACGGCATTGCACACAACCAGAAAAAAATGCAGGTCATGTGGATTAAGAACAAAAATGGCAGCACACGAGTTCGGCGACTGATGTGTATCTTTTGATCAATAAATTATGACACTTTTAGTTTAGCTGATTACTCTCTTGTTCACCGGGGCACGCATAAACTTGTGGTTCGAGTGGATGCCTGTACCGTGCACGAAGGCTCTGGCTTTGCGAAAAGTAATTTTTATATTTCGCGAATTTTCATTCTATGTGGTCGTTTCTTGCCATCGGTTACAAAAACAGACAGCCTTAATAGCTGGCACATAATCATTTTTAAAAAGGCAGGGCGTGTGAACACGGGCAAAAGAAGGAAGTCGGGACACCAAAACCGTCGGCTATCAACTGAAGAGGCGCACAATCTGGCACACGTGGGATCTGCGTGAAAGAACTGTTAAGGTATTTGATTTCATCTTTATGCAAGTTAATCGATGAAATACACAGGCATGCGCTACCACTATTATCTATATCATCATCAGCAGCAACAACAGAAGCCTGACTACGTCTACTGCAGGACAAAGGCCTCTCCCATGTTCCGCCAGTCATCTCGGTCCTGTGCTTGCAGCTGCAACTTTATACCCACAAAATTCCTTATGTCATGTGCCAACCAAACCTACTATCTCCCCCTAACCGCTAACGACCAGCGGTCATTTTGCCTTCACGATAAGTACCCTGCCCATGACCATTTCTTATTCCTGATTTCGACTGTGATGTCCTTAACACCCATTTGTTCCCTGACTCACTCTGCTTTATTCTTCTTCCTTAGGGTTACACCTCAAAATTTGTTTTCCATCGCTCGCTATGCCGTCCTAAATTTAAGCTGAACCTTCTTTGTAAGCCTCCGTGGTTTCTGGTTCGTAAGTAATTACCGGTAAGATGCAGCTGTTATATACCTTCACCTTGAGTAATAGTGGAAATCTACCATTCAAGATTTGAGAATGCTTGCCGAATGTGCTCCACGTCATACTTATTCTTCTAGTTATTTTAATCTCGTGGTTTGACTCCACGATCACTACCTAACTTTAAGTGCACTGCTGCCCATTTCTTCGTTCCAATGCAGGTACAAAACTGCGCGTTCATCGAACATTGGCGTGTAGTTACATTCTCGAAAATGTGAAGAAAGATTAGAAAGGTGAGCCTCCAATTAACGATTTTTTGTGAAGGCCCTAAGAGTTCAAGGTGCCAAGCTCTTTTGTTTCTTTTGTACTGTCCCCACGTCCGTTTGTTCACGAGCATTCCACAAGGAAAGTACAAGCAATCTCAAGAACTTCGTAAGGCGCTTGGGTACCCAGCACAAACTCTGTAGTAAACTAGGTTACAAAGAGCCAATGCCAGAATTCAATAAATAACAGAATAACTTCTTGGTACATTGATCAGCATGCATGCTAATAGCGTGCATAGGAGAGATTCCCGCGCATTGCAGCTCCAGTGGTTGTGCACCATGCTTTGCGCTGATTCCAGGCAAAAGCAGCAAACAAACTACTAGAGGGTGGCTGAAAGCATTGTATATAAATCCATATGAAAGTGTCTGATGCGTCAGTGACACATACTAAACTTTGTATTCCTCAACAATGCGCTTTCTCAATTACATGTTATCTCGAGCATGTCGCTTCACGTTCTATGCTATAACTACCCAATCATGTTCTCAATTATGATAGATTCTGTTGGTGTAGAAAACATAATTAAGTCCCTCAAACTTTCATCCGCCCCGGGCTGCGACCTGATTACCACCAAGTTCCTTAAAGGTACCTGTGCCTACTCATCCAATATTCTTACTAAAATTTTTCAACAGTCTCTTCACGAAGGCGTATTTCCAATCGAATGGAAGATTGGCAAAATTGTGCCATTTCACAAGTCCGGTGACAAGCATTCCACATTAAACTATAGACCCATCTCACTTACTAGCATTCCATGCAAAATACTGGAGCACATTTTGTACTCTAACCTTGCAACCTTCCTTGAGTCTAACTCGTTTTTTACGCGTCACCAACATGGCTTTAGGAAAACATTCTCGTGCGAAACCCAGCTTGTAGCCTTTACACACAAATTAAACGTTATTCTCGACCAAACTAGCTCTGCCGACTGCGTATTCATAGATTTCTCCAAAGCTTTTGATAAAGTCTGCCACAACTTGCTGTTGCACAAATTAAATGAACTTAATATAGATCCCAGGCTTCTAACATGGCTCGAATGTTTTCTAAAACGTTCTCAATTTGTTTCAGTTAATAATGTAAGCTCTGAACCAAGTGCCGTTCATTCCGGCGTACCACAAGGCTCCGTACTAGGCCCACTGCTCTTCCTTATATACATTAATGATTTACCGTCCTGTATTACCTCCAATATTCATTTATTTGCGGATGACTGCGTAATCTTCCGAGAGATAACTCGTGATGGCAATATTACCTCTCTTCAACATGATCTTAACTCCATTTCTCTTTGGTGTAAAACATGGCTCATGGAATTAAACAATAAGAAATGCCAATTTTTACGTGTTTCGAGAGCGAACCATCAACTTCCAAACTATTACCTTGATAACACCCCTCTTCAATCCGTGACAAACTATAAATACCTTGGGGTGCATATAACAACTGATCTGACCTGGACTGTTCACTGTAATTACGTCATTAAAAATGCTAACCGAATGTTAGGTTACCTCCGCCGCAACTTTTCAACGGCCCCTTCTTTCTTGAAACTTCTTCTTTACACTACACTAATACGACCTAAACTCGAATATTCCGCTGCAGTATGGGATCCTAGTCATGCCAACCTAATACACTCTCTTGAAATGGTACAGAATAACTCAATTCGTTTTATACTTTCTAATTACAACAGGACAGTTAGCATAACAGCCATGAAATCTAGCCTCAACTTACCTTCACTTTCATCCCGTCGTAAAATGTTTCGTCTCCACTTGTTTCACAAGTTGTTTCATCACACATCGCTGCGGGACGGTCTTATCTTGCCTCCTAGTTATATCTCACCCCGGCTGGATCATTCCCATAAGGTCGGGTTGCCTTCTTGCAGGACTCGCGCCTTTTCTCAGTCTTTCATACCTCGCACCTCTGAGGACTGGAACCGGCTTCCCGCATCAGCGGCAACCATTGTAAATCACCTTCATTTCAAAAGTGCCTTAGCTAGTTATGTGTAATTACAGCCAACAAAGTATTGTATTACCCGATGCTGTGTTGTTCCTGTACATTATTTATTTTCTTGTCGTTTTTCCTGTCTTGATGTAATTCTCATCATTCCCGCGTTTTTGTTTGCCATAAAGCCTGTTAGCTAACCTGTATAATTAAGATGTTCTGCTCGATGTAAGATTCGCCGCTGCATTTTGTAAAAATTTTTGTCTTTTCTTTCTCAACCGCTCCCCTCTGTAATGCCGTTTGGTCCTGAGGGTATTGCAAATAAATAAATAAATAAATAAATATTAACGTATGCACGAGAATTTAATTTTCTGTTGGTTTCTGAGAGTGTTATTAAACAGTTTGTAGTCGGCGCATCCCTTTCTTATTTTTTCCTTCAACCTTTGTCAAGAAATGTATTTGATCAAGTGTGTATGTACCTAAGCAACGAATTCCTGTCAACGCTCGCAGCACGCGCTGTCAGGCAAGCCGGCCATCCTCCCTTTCCAGCCGGAGACGACGGCGGTGCAGAAGTACCAGGACCTCGAGTACCAGGACACCTACTTCCTGGCGGAGAGCTTCCATGACGCCAGAGAAAAACTGAGGTTCGTACCACCAGAAACGGTTTCTGCGTCTACGCAGCGCAATTAGAAATTAAAACATTTCCTGTATTTCGGTGGAACGTACATTCGTCATTCCTTCATTCATCCTAAAAAAATGAAAAGTAGTTCTTGTCGTCTCACTTTCTAATTCGGAATACCACTGGCTTTTTCCGCCACCCGGGCCCGGCTCTAACCACAGTTTATCGTTGCAATACAGGTCCAGAAAAAATAAAAAAAAAAGACTGCAGTGCGCGCCGACGATAAACTAGCATTTTCAGGAGCGGAGTTCTTTATGCTTTCTGTTTCACCTTGTAGTGTGACCAGGGAATTGTCACCATCATGAATCCTAGTATGTGCTCACTCTTCAACTGTTGCTTCACTCCCGCAACAAAAGCTGACGACACAAAATACAGAAAGCCGAGTATTTTACGCGACTGAAGATGATGTGACATCCCGCGACATCCAGTGAAGTGAGTGAAAATCGCGTAACATCTTGTCAAGCGACTAAAATAGCGCGAACATCACGTAAATATAGCTAGTCGCGTCGACATGTCCCAGTATTGAAAGACGTAGCATCTAGATACGTGACTAAAATAGCATCAGGGCAACCGGTAGTGACGTGACACGTCTAATCTAGCTAACTCTAGCCACATTTAGTACTACTAGCAGAAGCTTAATATCTCCAGCAATAGCTTCGCTGTAGGTCGAATACTAGCTGCGCTGATGGTTACAGTCGTGCGCCACTGGGTCCAGCTGCGCACTTTTTTCTTATATTAATCGAAACTAGCCCTTTGAACGGCGCCATGTTTTCCCCGACGCGTGCGTATAAAGTACACATAGACAGAAGTTTGTGAAAAGATGAAATCATGTAACCATAAGAAAGCGTCGAAATTTCTCCTGAAAGTGCCCTCACTGAAACCCTGGCCTCTTTTGCTGTTCGACGACTTCTGAGGGAGCGGCAAAAGTGAGCAGATGAAGCTGTGGCGCGAAAGGAACCGCATTCACTCGCATTCTAGCTGCGCTAGTTATCAGCAACACTTGAGAATTGGGCTCGATGGTAGGTCGTGCGGAATCGGTTGTAGCGACCTCGACACCAGAATGGATACAAACACAGGCAGAGCTGCGTGTGTTGTCTTCCTTCTGGTGTGACGAGGTCGCGCTGCGATCAATTCTTTCTGGCTATCAACGTCTTGTGTTGACTAAACGATGTCTAATTTTAGCTATGATGAAGACTAGTGTGAAGAAATTGTGGATAATATTCACCAACTTGGCTCAATGACGCGCCAGCTATTTCATTTCATTTCATTTCATTTTATTTCCTTAAAGACCCCTTGCGGGGCATTACATAAGGGGTGGGTACATAAAAATTGAGCAGAAAACAATCGTTTGTCCTAAAGTGAAAGATGATTAGTGATACTGGTTGTGAAGGTAGAAGTACAAGTAATGGCAGGAATGTCGCCTGAAAGGCCATTCCAGGCAACTGCCGTGCGAGGAAAAAATGATGTTGAAAAAGTAACGGTGCGTGCACGTGGGCGTCCGACTTGAAGTGGATGATTAGTTCGTTGAGAGATGTACGCTGGGGGAACAAAATAAGGTGGCATGCGCATCGAGCTGTGAAAAAACTTATGAAATAACGAAAGACTGGCGATACGGCGGCGGAGGGAAAGGAGGGGCAGTTGAAGTTCTGCCTTAAGTGAAGATACGCTGACGTCACTGGAGTAAGAATTATTGATAAACCTAGCGGCACGGTTTTGAATACACTCAAGGGCGTCTTCAAGATAGGCCTGATGCGGGCTCCAGATTGGGGAAGCATATTCAAGTTGTCTCCTATAGGAGATGATTCTCAATAGAGACTGCTTTACCACGAACTCGCACGCCCTTTGAACTGTCTCTCGCGTGACTATCGTGCGTGATCAAGTAATTTCACTCAGCTATGCGCTGTTTCGACTGCGCAAGCGCGCAGACAGCAGCGTGTGGCCGAGAAGCACGAAATTCTGATGTAGGCTCAACGGTCAGTGTTATCATTGTCCCCGCGTCTTGTTGAAAGATGAGTGACGGGAGGATGACAGTTCGCCTGTAGGAATTGTACAGCGGGAGTATAGTTCAGGCACGAAAGAAACGCGCGCTCGTGGTGGTGTTCATTTCGCTTTGCTTGCACGACATTCTCGGTGGCGCAGGCAGTACGTGGCCCGAGCGAACTTCCGGCCTTTCGAGGTGAGCTACGATCCACACCGGCAGTGCGTGATGGTGCTGGACACGCCCAAGAAGCTCCTCGGCGTCGTCGACTCGCTGCGATCCGAGATACAGGCCCTGACCAGCGCCCTCGGAAAGATGAAGTAGCGAGCTGCGACGTCGACTATACGTCTGCAATGTTCCACGTTACACCCATCACTCCTGAGCCCGACTGCAGTGCTGGCGTTACTGCTCAGATTGCGGATTGTGCTCTGCATCCCCAGAGCTTCTCGACTGCTTTCTGTTCTACTCTTGATCCCACGACTTTTGTTCTGCGACTACTGAAGTGTTCACCTTCTCCGTGTTCCAGTACATTCGGGATGTCGTTGATCGTTGTCTCAGTGTGACTGCAAGCCGAAGAGGTTGGCAGGGACTCGTGGTTCGAAAAAGGCAGACGTAAACATTTTATGCAGAAGGAACGGAAGGAGGCAATAAACTATAATTGGGCATCTCAAGCTGATTGATGATGCACGGCCCTCACGCTCTACAAAAGAAAACAATAAATCAGGCAAAGTCTTTTGTATTTAATTAAACCATACGCTGAAATTGTGGGGCCACAGTTGGTGCCAGCCGTTCAAGAGAGTGAAATTCGGCAAGACTTTGCAATGTTGGCACGCTTTTAGAGCGACGACTTTAGAGTACACAATGTATCGAACCTACGACCTCCTGGTCCACGTCGATAAGCACCCCGCACTCTATATACCGACTAAGCAACCGAGGCGCATACACATGGTACGTGCGATTTCTAAACAATTTTGCTCAAGGGCAGTGCGAGGGCGAAACATTGCGCTGTTTCCTTCTGAAATACGCTATTGTGGTCGTTCTCGCAGCAAAACAGCGATGGGACATATGCGCATATCAATAGATATGACTTCGGGCGCAATTGAGTGGCAATTTACATTATATTTATGTATTGAAAATATGACGTAGTGTTATAGTTCACTACGGCTTTTCAGTTTGCTAGATTATATCGGCAAAATATAATAGCTAGGAACGTCCCGAAAGTACCGCGAGCATTTGTTGTATTGAAATAGTAACCATATATTGCAGCATGTTAACGCGGTACATTATTAATACGTCTGTGTGTTTACATTGAAAATAGTGCCACGATTTGCTGCTTCAGTTTCTGCGAAAGAATGACGTCATTCGAAGAGAACATGATTTTGTGTACAGAGTACATAAGCACACAACGTATACACGTGTAGCACACACCGTCGTCACAGCAAACTAATAGTACAGTTAAATCACACTCGACATCATAACTTGTTGCTAAGCAATGCTTCCGCAAAATAGCGTCGAAATAGCGCCAAATATTCAAGGACACGAGATATCCGTATGAGGCGCGAAAGTTGTTCTACACCTTCTGTGCCAAATTGCGTGCAACGTAAGTGGCGATGTTGCTCTACGTTTCGGCTGTTTGCGTGTTGTACTGAATGACATCTATTCTTTGAACAATAAACGTCGTGAAAAAGAGATGGCTTGTTTTTATTTAAGTTGGTGCGAACAATGTGCATGTTTTTTTCGCGAATAAGTGTTGTGTTGAGAAACATACTTTCGTGTGTAGTGCATGAAGGATGGCGGGAGTAAAAGCGGCGCTTTAGAGCAGCTTCCCTAGCTTCAACTACCCCAAAAGACGGGCCGCAAAAGCAGCGGCGCCTAAATAACAAAGAGCTAAAAATAGCCATTAAAAATCAAGGCAGGGGTCGCACTCTTTAGCGGTGCCACGCCTGAATATATATAGGTGCGCAGGTGAACAGTCTCCTTCTTTGTTGTTGTTGTGGAACTGGCTTTGAACTTCTTTTCATTTTTTGGTACCTTTTCACGCTCTCTATGTGATTACGTTAAAAGTCACCTTCGTATGGTACGCATAAAGATTTAACCTCAGTAATTGTTCAAATCCACTCCGAAATGCACGCCCTAATTCAATATCAAACCAAGCGTATCACTTAATTTTGTCCTATATATAAGCCATAACTCTGGGAATAGGGGAGTTCTGAAAAATGATCCTTTTAGTCCACCTATATCTGTGCTGAATATCCAATGTCCCGAATCATTACTCTGAACGTCATTGTTCAACTCAACGCACCGACGATGCGCGGCACTGATTCCGCCTACACTTAACGATGCAACCCAAACAAAATGGACGTGCACTCTTTCGAAAAACTGCTGGCCACCTTTTTTTTTTCGTGTTTTTAGTGGTTTCGACGGGAAATTTTTGTCTCTTTTGCGACCGCTTTTTACACTGATTATCCAGTTCTTTTGTTATTGTTTCCAGAGCACAAACTCTTTAATGGCGAATGGAGCAATGGGCGGCTAACTTAAAGTACTAAAGAACCCTGTAGGAAAGTATGGGAAGCAGCATAGTTGTCTTCGTTTTTATGATCTTGTTGTTCAGCTAGTTTCATTAATGACACGCACATGAGCCCTCGATTCGAAAATTAGCCTTTTACGACCGGCATTAATGCAAGCTTGGGCTGTAGGAGTTCAAGTGACGACGGGTTTCTGAGATACAAATGTCGTCATTCATCAATAAACACAATTTTGATCAAGAGCAACCACGCGAACGCAGCGCGGTAATTTTAAAAGAACAGGTACGAAATGCAGTGCTCATGCAGGGGAGCCTACCTGCAAAACGCCTCTCGATAGTTCTATGCGTTGAAAAGAAATGCACGCTAATGACTTTGTTTACGACGTGAAGAGGCGTTCGAAGGAACTGCGAAGCTCACTGGTCAAAGCGAGTCGATTTGTCGTAATGAGACGCACTGGTTTCAGCAAAGACCGTAAGGCGCTATAGATGGATATATTTGTCGGCACAAATTGTTTTCACGATTCCCGAGTGATTCCAGGCATGTTTCACAATGAGGCAAACGCATTAAGCCGTTAGCTGGCAAACTTGTTGGGCCACTGTCACCGCTTCATTTCGGCGCCATGTATGACCTCAGCACGGCCTAATTTATTAATCAGCGTTAAACAGAACCTCTACTTAAGGGGGTATTTGCTGTCAATCGTATACGAACCATCTGGTGAAGATTTCAGAGTAATTGCGGTCGCGCTGCAGTGCACGGCTTAAAAGAGTTCGCACGAAAGAAGTGGTCGACTGCGCAGACAGTCGACCACTTGCACCAGCCACTGGCATCAGCCACTTGCATCAGCCACTTGCATCAGCCAGACAGTCACTTGCATCAGCGGCATCGAAGCTTCGAGGGAGTCGTACGTAATATCAACTCTTCGCAGGACATGTTTTTCCCGAAGGTGGACGCACCGGCCAACGCAAGCATCGAACAGGGATATCTCCGAGTGGTCTACCAGAGCGTGAGAAACTCGGTTACTGCCTGTGCAAACAGCCTAAAACACTTAAAAATACGACATTTACCGACACCTGCCGCAATGCAATACGGAGGCGAAATACTTAAGTGACGCAGTATATAAATTAGTCTTCGGATAGTTTTGCGTGAAGATGAGCATCCTTCTGTTGAACAGTATAATGTAAGAAATTTTTTAAAATTACGGCTTAAAAAAGTCTCTTGAACTTACTGCGAAATTTGGCACTAACAGTGTGCCATTTAAAAATTGTGCAGATTGACCCCACGTTGTTTTTTTTAACCGTCCCAGGTAGATATAGCGCAGGCTGTCGCTGCCATGCAGTAAGTGTTCGGCTTAAGGTACATCTGCAATTTGAGATTGAGTCTTGTCACAAATTCTATCGCGAAAGAAATTTGCCTAGTAGTATTGTGGTCGATGACAATAATAATTTACATTCCAGAATGTACACGTGCACTATAGACTTCCGAGCGAGCATCACCAAGAGTAGAACGCATCTTTTATAGTTGGTTGATTTTAAGTATATGAGCTGAAGCTGCGAGGCTGGAACCTGGACACAAATAGACCGCTTGCAACAAAAATCCGTCCTGTTGCATATGTTCTTTCACTGTGTTCCGTTCAAGTCACATATTTTCGACTGATTTTCGACTGATATTGCCGTCGTAATCAAAATTAGCGTCAAAATTTTGTTGCAGAAAAAAATCACCACCAAAGCGCTCGGTGTTTCACTAGCGATGCTGAAACTTGCGGCTACAGGCTGTTGCTGGCGTCGCAGCCGAAGATGCTCGAGAAACTCCCGCCGAAAGCGAACCTGACAAACGCGCTTCTTCCATTGCCTCGTTGACCCTAGTCATGCTTACAACGCCGCTTTCTCGGCTCGCCGTTGTCGCTTGCAGAAGGCTGCCGGATCCTCAGTGTACATTTGCCGCTTGCTCTTCGCCGCTCGGACCTGTTCTTATGCCCGGACTGCTGCATCCGCCGGGTGAACATGAATTCTATCACTGACCAGCTGTCGGCGCTGTTCTTGGAAAGTTGTCCGGGGATTCTTACGATCCGTGCCCTCTTCATGTAGAAATAGTTAAGGCCTGACCACACGTACCTGCTGCAGCGCGTCAGCGCTTGGCTTTTTAACGCGGCGCCTCACCCTCGCAGGCGTTCGCCGAACGCACCTTGTAATTTACAAAGTACCCATAACTTTTTTCTTCATTTTTTCTCTTTTTCAAAGCCACTCGGTTGCAACTGGTGGGCGCGGGCTCAGCCGCACGGCTGCGAAGAAATGAGCGACATCGCTGTCGGCGCTCCCAACGCTGCGCGTGCTTGGGCGCAACGTAGAGAACGACGTGGCAGAACAGCTAATTTTCGTTTCGCCTAGCCATATACAACTTTCACTGTAAAAAAAAACACTGGCGTCGTTTTATTCCTCTCATTCTAGATGTTTCCATTCATTGTGGTTACGCAAGACACGCACGGTCATCATATGTCTGGACCAGTCGCCGAGATGCTGGCTCTCATCGTACGGGGCCTTAACGTCAGGTAAGACACCGGGAACTGGCACGGGAGCTTTAATGCAAGTGTGCATAATGTCACTTTTAAGTCGCCTGCAAACTAAACTTCGGGGAAGTGCAAGTTACTTTCAATACAGGTGGCTAAGCTATAGCCTCTACTGGATGTTTCAAAAAATGCGCCCAAAAATTTTTAAAAATCAGAGAAATCATTTAGAACAGTAATCACGAAAGCTAATTTAGATAAACTTTTTCGTTAGTGGAGTTATAGGTGGTTCTATATCTCAAACCCACTGCAGCTTTGGAATATAGAAGGGGCTTCTAATACTTGATGCGACATAGTGAAATTCAACCAAATTCAACCATAATATTTTAACCGAAGCAACAATGAGCGCAACAAGTAGACGACTAGCTAGAATGATGTCACTACTCAAGACAACACTTTATCATCATCGTCGTCGTCGCCGTCGTCGTCATCACCATCATCACCATCATCATCATCCTGACTACGCCCACTGCAGAGCAAACGCCTCTCACATGATTCGCCAGTCAACGCGTTCTTGTCCATTCTGCTACCACGTTATACCTACGAACCTTTTAATCTCATCAGTCCACCTCACTTTCTGTCTCCCCTTCGTGCGTTTGCCTTCTTTGGAAATCGAGTCAGTTACACTTAACGACCAGCGGTTATCCTGCCTATACGTGCAAACGTGCCCGGCCCATGTTCATTTATTCTTGATTTTAACTATGATATCCTTTACCCTGGTTTGTTCCCTGAATCACACCGCTGTCTTCTTGTCTCTTAAGGTTACACCTATCATTTTGCTTTCCATCACTCGCTCCGTCTTCCTCAATTTAAACTGAACCCCTTTCATAATCTTCCAGGTTTCTGTTCCGTAGCTAAGTACTGGCAAGATGCAACTGTTATATACCTTCTTCTCGAGGGTGAGTGGCAGATTACCATTTACGATGTGAGAATTCTTGCCAAATGTCATCCACCCCGTCCTTACTCTTCTAGTTATCTCACTCTCGTGGTTCGGTTCCACGGTTACTACCTGTCCTAAGTAGACATATTGCCTTACAATACTCTCCGCCTATCGCAAAGCGCTGTTTTTTGCCGAGAATGTTGCACATTACTTCAGGTTTGTGCTTATTAATTTTCAGGCGTACTCTTCTGCTTTCCGCGTCCACTTCACTAACCATGAGCTGTAATTCGTCGCCTGAGTTACTCATCAAGGCAATGCCACCTGCGAATCTCAGGCTGCAAAGATGTTCTCCATTAACTCTTATCCCTAACTCTTCGCAATCTAGGGCCCTGAAAACTTCCTGCAAACACGCGGTGAATGGCAGTGCAGATATTGTGCCTCCCTGCCTTACACCTTTCTTTATTGGGATTCTGTCAATTTCTATGGTGGTGGTGGTGGATCCGCTGTAGATTGCGTCCAGTATGATGATGGATGGTAGCGCAGACAACGAACACGGACAAGAGAAGGCACATAGACACAACACAGCGCTAACTTTCAACAACAGTTTATTACACGCAGATCTCCGTGGTGTATGCGATCCACCACGCCAACGTCGCACGTGCGTAGCTCTAAAAACCATCAAATATAACCAACGCGCGTGTTCCAATACTTTACAATTTTATATTTTTCAATCTTTTTCTACTTTTTCTTTCTTCCTTTTATCCCATGTTACCACAAACCCTATCGCGAATACATGTAATCAAGTTCCTTATCTGTCAACACCACTGATGGGCTGCTCACACACGTGTCACCTAGCTCTGCAATTCTGCCGGCCTCCAATACCAACCGCGTCATCTCGTGCCTACTTCTATTGATTATAACCGTTTCCTTGAATTTCGGTGTGCAATTACATCTCTGGCAATGAAGGGAAAGAAAACCATCAGGAACAACACTATTTACTTTGTTATTGTGCTCGCGCAAGCGATCGTTTATGCATCTACTGGTCTGACCGATATAACACTTTCCACAAGTAAGTGGAATGAGGTATACAACACACATGATGCACTCCACAAATAGGTTTCTATGTTTCTTTTGGCATACATTTGATTTTCCCTTGTCTGGTCTTGTGCTTCTGCAAAGACTCACCAACTTATTGGGTGCCGAGAAAACTACGTTAGTGCCACATTTTTCCGCAATCTTTTTTATCCTGTGAGAAACCTTATGCATGTATGGAATTACGGCAAAACTTTCCTTTCTTGAGCTCACCCTATCCATCCCTTCACATCTTTTCTCCAGCACTTTTCTGTGCAATCCTTCAGCAACGGACACGACGAGGCTCTTGGGGTACCCGGCATTGCTTAGCCTCGAGACCTGTTGTCTGAAGCTTTCATTCATGAGGCACCGGCAGGACTTCTTTAGTGCCTCACTCAAGCACATCTTCGCAATGCCTCGTTTTACCAGTTTAGTATGCGCTGAGTGAAACTGTAGTAAAGGCTTACTTGCTCTGGGCTCGTAACACCAGCATGTCTTTCATCTGAGAATTGAAAGTTAATGTCAAGAAATCTGAGCCTTCCGTCACATGGCATTTCAAAAGTCACTTCAAGTGGGTTAAGCCCCTCACGAAAAACGCTACACACGCTACTACATTGAGTAGCAAAATCTGCAGTTCTGTCATTGATAAACACTAAAAAGTCATCGACGTACCTAAATACGTGCACAACATTGTATTCATTTAGGCGTCCTGATAGCCTCCTGTCCATTTCAGCCAAAAACAAATTACTTAAAACTGGTGCTAAGCACGAGCCAATGCATACTCCTTGTTTTTGCAGATACAGGGTACCATTGTTTTCAATAAACGTTGACGACAAGTAAAACCTAAGTAATTCTAAGAAATTGTCGACGGACGTACCTGCTTGTGAGCTAAATCTAACGGCACCGTACTCATCAATGCATTCGCCAACACTTGTTAATACTGCTGATTGTGGCAGAGAATAGTACAGATCTTTTATGTCAGCCGAAAACGCTTTTAACCCTATGTTTTTTCGTTCCCTGACGAAACTTATCACCTGTTCCGAATTTTTTGTCAGGAAGGGGTCATTTATGTCAAGCAAGTTTAATGTTCTTTGCAGATACACAGCTACAGCTTTTTGCCACGTGTCCTTCTCCGACACTATCACTCTGAACGGTACTCCTTCCTTATGCGTTTTAGCACTAAAGAACACATCCAGACTGTCATTTTTACTTTTTCTGATACCGCTAAGCACACCTTCTAGATTCATCCTCTTACAAAGTTCTATTGCTTTTCCCCTCACTTTTTCAATCGAAATACTTTTCTTTTCGCTGAACACTGCCGTAATAGCACTTTTAGCCTTTTCTTTAAATTCATCATGCGAGAAAACCGCAAACCCTCCTTCTTTATCGACTGGAAGTACACTCAGAGCATGCTGTGTCAAGTAAGTTTCCACGCGTTTGAGAGGCAAACTGCGGCATGGAGGCCTACACAATTTTAAAGCGTCCACACCTTCGTTGATGATCCTGGTGGCTTGATCCTCGGGAACCCGCTTCGACACTTGACGTACAATTGATACGAGTTCCGGCTTGTTCTTTTGAGGTTGCACGGCAAACTTTGGCCCAAGTCCCAATACTTCTAGTACAAAGTCCGGTAGGCAGATGCCTTCTGCCACATGAACGTTGGAGGTTGCACTCACGCGCACTTTGTCCACCAAATCACGTAACAGTCGTAATTGACGCTTCCAGTGGAATTCTATCATTTGGTCTGCCAGACGTAGATGCTTTCGAAAGTGAATCTCCGCTGCATATGACTCGTAAGTTCGATGCATCTGCGCGCGTAGGTAGGCTCTGAAAAGGCGTACCTGTCGAAGCCATTCTGAGCGCTGAATTTTCATGATCCTCGTTCTGTGCCCATCTGAAGGGGTACACCCTCCGAAGAGCGCTCGAACATCCTCTGGTAGAATCTTGTTCCTTATGGAAAAGCTGAGCGTTCTTGCCTTGCACACGGCGTTGACGATGAGGGCTACAACACCCGAAGGATCTCGCAGTACATGAACGAAAGAGCCCGTTGAACGAGAAATGAAGTCAATGAGGGTGGCGATTTGGGCTTGTTGGTATGGTTGCATGATGATGGATGGTAGCGCAGACAACGAACACGGACAAGAGAAGGCACATAGACACAACACAGCGCTAACTTTCAACAACAGTTTATTACACGCAGATCTCCGTGGTGTATGCGATCCACCACGCCAACGTCGCACGTGCGTAGCTCTAAAAACCATCAAATATAACCAACGCGCGTGTTGTTTTTGGCTGAAATGGACAGGAGGCTATCAGGACGCCTAAATGAATACAATGTTGTGCACGTATTTAGGTACGTCGATGACTTTTTAGTGTTTATCAATGACAGAACTGCAGATTTTGCTACTCAATGTAGTAGCGTGTGTAGCGTTTTTCGTGAGGGGCTTAACCCACTTGAAGTGACTTTTGAAATGCCATGTGACGGAAGGCTCAGATTTCTTGACATTAACTTTCAATTCTCAGATGAAAAGACATGCTGGTGTTACGAGCCCAGAGCAAGTAAGCCTTTACTACAGTTTCACTCAGCGCATACTAAACTGGTAAAACGAGGCATTGCGAAGATGTGCTTGAGTGAGGCACTAAAGAAGTCCTGCCGGTGCCTCATGAATGAAAGCTTCAGACAACAGGTCTCGAGGCTAAGCAATGCCGGGTACCCCAAGAGCCTCGTCGTGTCCGTTGCTGAAGGATTGCACAGAAAAGTGCTGGAGAAAAGATGTGAAGGGATGGATAGGGTGAGCTCAAGAAAGGAAAGTTTTGCCGTAATTCCATACATGCATAAGGTTTCTCACAGGATAAAAAAGATTGCGGAAAAATGTGGCACTAACGTAGTTTTCTCGGCACCCAATAAGTTGGTGAGTCTTTGCAGAAGCACAAGACCAGACAAGGGAAAATCAAATGTATGCCAAAAGAAACATAGAAACCTATTTGTGGAGTGCATCATGTGTGTTGTATACCTCATTCCACTTACTTGTGGAAAGTGTTATATCGGTCAGACCAGTAGATGCATAAACGATCGCTTGCGCGAGCACAATAACAAAGTAAATAGTGTTGTTCCTGATGGTTTGCTTTCCCTTCATTGCCAGAGATGTAATTGCACACCGAAATTCAAGGAAACGGTTATAATCAATAGAAGTAGGCACGAGATGACGCGGTTGGTATTGGAGGCCGGCAGAATTGCAGAGCTAGGTGACACGTGTGTGAGCAGCCCATCAGTGGTGTTGACAGATAAGGAACTTGATTACATGTATTCGCGATAGGGTTTGTGGTAACATGGGATAAAAGGAAGAAAGAAAAAGTAGAAAAAGATTGAAAAATATAAAATTGTAAAGTATTGGAACACGCGCGTTGGTTATATTTGATGGTTTTTAGAGCTACGCACGTGCGACGTTGGCGTGGTGGATCGCATACACCACGGAGATCTGCGTGTAATAAACTGTTGTTGAAAGTTAGCGCTGTGTTGTGTCTATGTGCCTTCTCTTGTCCGTGTTCGTTGTCTGCGCTACCATCCATCATCATGCAACCATACCAACAAGCCCAAATCGCCACCCTCATTGCGTCCAGTATGTTTATGTAGGGTTGACCCTGATTCCTCACTGCCTGCATCACTGCTGATGTCTCGACACAGGTGTAAATCTTCCACGTAAGCTCACTTATTAGCGTCGTCCATGATATAGTTGCAAGCGCGGCCCACACACCCGCACAACGAGGAACGTTTAATGTTGATGTAACGACACTGACTCATTCTGGACGTCTCAGAAGAGCCTTAACACGCTTCGGTTTCAATTACACCGCGGAATTCGGATGAATTTCATTCGTTCGCAAATTTGAACATATTTATTCTAACATCCGGTATATACTGTGCTTGTCTAGGTTGTATAAAAGATGTTATCGCGATATATACAGGCTTGTCTAAAAGCCACTTCATGTTCGTACACCCTACTTTGATTTCGTGCTGCAGTAGATTGTTAGAGACGGCTTACCTGCACTATAGCTTTTGTTTCCGCTTCTTCACAGGAGGTTTAGAAGCCGAACGTCCGGCCATTGCATTCCTGACCACATGCGTGGACTTTCATGCACATCCTGCAAGAAAAAGTGGAAATACTTATTAGCCATCGTTTATAAACTTCTGGTTGACCGCTCCGAAAGCTCATGCATGTCAATACATTTTCGTGCGCTGGACATGTGCAAGCGTGTGTTTGGCACATAAAGTTAGTACGCATTCGTCGTCATGTGCAGCTGCCGCGTGTTGTTTCACATTCTTCAAATTTCTTTAAAACTTCCGTACTTTTACGGTGCAGCGAGACGCGTCCAGTTTAAAGCCCGCTCTTTCGTCTACGTTTTCTCTTTCGCATTAAGCCCCTTCTTTACGAAACACACAAATAAGATTTACATTCCAAAGCTCTGTGTACCATGTGCGTGCTTTTATCTACGAAGCCACGTTACCTCCGATAGGCGTGAAAAGGACAATTTTCATTAGATGACGTTCATGAGATGGAATTAGCACGTGACACTGCATGTTTTGTTGAATTATTCACGCGGTCAATAATGCTTATGGGGTGTTATTAGGGGTACCTGGCTCACGGTCGTGAAATTTTGAAAAACTGCAGCACTTAAGTTAGTCACGTAATTCTGAACAGACTTTAATGTGTTCTCCGTCTCACGTGTGTTACTACGTGAATCTAACAGAAATGAGACAAATTCTATATTTACGGAATGCGCGGGTCAATATGAAACATTCTGCATTTACTAAATTTTAAAGTTTCTTTTTAACCACACAAAATCGCGTCAAATTAAGTGCAGTGGTTGGGGTATGTGTTGCAAAATGCGTATTGAAATTTTCCAAACAGGCCAGTGTTGTCTTTACCTCCGGATGGCCAGTGGGGGTACAAAGTGAACGGCAGCTTCACCGGAGCAATCGGCATGCTACAGAGAAAGGTGAGCTCATGTGGACGGCGCCGATTAATTGAGACAATGAATAACTTATGCACTGAAATAAATCTCGGCATGGGCAATGTGTTTCCAAAGCACACGCACAAGTGCATCTCGAGACATCATTTTTCTTGTTGTTTAATTCTGCTATATCGGTTAACCGTCATGCGATTAGTAAGTTCTATTATCTATATATATGCTGCTGCTATAGATCGCACCGTATGTTAAGGTTAAGGTAAGGATGTTAAGGTAACCACCTAGTTACGTGCACTGACATTGCACAGTAATCGGGCAACCATAGCGTTTCGGCTCTATTAAAACGCAACCACCGCGAACGGGATTGGCATTGCGACCTTCGGGTCATCAGATGATCACCGTAACCTTTGTACCACCGTTTTGGACGACAAGAGAAGAGTTTTAAGGAAGGTGCTGGAATATGCTTTGGTGAGAAAAGCTGTCATGTTCAGTAACAAAACCAGACATGCATCTTTTCAATTTTCAATTCAGATCAGAAGCGTGGCTTGCTGAACCAGTTCGTAATAAGTTCTTTTGTGATGAATAGCGCCACACAAAATAAACACGAAAGGTGAAATGCATACAAACTCTTCGCTGACGCTTGTCTTCCTTTCAGCCTCGTGTTTTGGTGATGTTGTGCCGTTAAACGTTCTTAAACTACGCGAAATGACACGAGTAACAAAACACACAGAACGCGAGCTCAGACTTCAGCATCTTGACTACACTTCGTGCTTGGCCCGAGGGCACAACCAGATGACCAAATAGCGATCGCGGATGGTTTATCCTGCGCTTCAGGCAATCAGCCAGAACACGGGACTGACACTCAGACACAGTGATCAAACTCACGGAGGAAGTTGCTTCCTTTTGCTTTGGATGTGCTCATATAAGTCGCTATATAAGTCATACAAGTTCGGCGTTTTAGCTTATTGCCTGAAGTGCAGGATAGACCCTCCACAAGCGCGATCACTATTTGTCCATCTGGTTCAGTCCTGGGGACACGTCCGAAGGATAGCCAAGATGTTGTCTGAGCCTGAGCTCGCGTTCTGTTTCTCGTTACTCGTGTCTTGGTCTTTTCCCGTAGTTTAATAACGCTTAGCGGCAATGAACCATTTACACCGTCAGAAAGTATTGCCGAAGTATGATTTGCCATTCGTCACAAGATGTTGCCCTTTTGTCATCAGCCAACGCACTTGCTAAAACAACCGAAAATCGATTGCTAAGGTTCACTGAAAAAATCCTAATAGTATTTGCAGTACTGACGTATTGAAACGGGACCATTTAGGGCTAAGTAACACATACTTTCGTTCAATTCTACCACATCCAGTTCGGGTCATGTCGGTGTAAGTTCGACTCAAACGCTTAGATCAGAGACACCATTACCTTCAATGGCAAGATTCACGCGACATGACGCCGTTGTCTGACGCATACCAGCCATTGCACTAATAAAAATTTTGGTGTTTCGTTTGAATCCCTGAGTATGCTGTACGTAAACGCGCAGGAAGTGGACCTGTTCATCGGCCCGGCTGGCCTGATCGCCGAGCGACTGGAGGCGGCCAACTTCTACCCCTACGTGTTCGGCTACTCCACCATACTGGCACCGCACCCGCGAAAAATCGTCGACCCCTTCAGCTTCATCAACGCCTTCCAGCCCGAGGTGATTAACCGGCCTTTCTACTTCGGCGCTGCAGCAAAATCACTTTTACTACTTCGAGGACAGCGAGAAAATTCTTTCGGCTGAGCAAGTGCGCTTTTATCGACGTCATTTCCGGGGCGGAAATGACGCCAATAAAAGAGCCAGCATCATCAGGAATCGAGGCAACTTACCAGAAACTGAGGACGATCCACGTGAAAAACTGTAGCAGTCATCATTTCATTTTCAGCACGCATGTCACAAGGTTGATATTTTCCAACGTATATTAACAGCAAAAAGGCCTTTCGAGGTCCGAACTGCATTGTTGGCCTCCAGATAAGAAGTGACAAATGGGGGTTTCTGACATAGTGGCAAAAGCTGCATAATGCTGTCATGCGGGCCGCAAGTTGCCGAGTCCTGGAATAAGTGATACTGGATCAATTTTAGTAAATTCGGAACATTTTGTGTAATGCATGGGCACCAAAAGCTGCATAATCACGATAAAATTACAAATAGGGCTGTAAAAACTCTCTCTCAATCTGAAACTATAAACAGTAAAATACGGCGCTGTCAGCAATTATTCGGTATTGAAAGCAAGCATGATCGCATTTTTTTTTTTTGTCCGAGAAAGGTTATCTGGCACAGGAGTTATTTTACTTGCGGCATGGTTGAAGTGTCCACAGATGAGCGAAGCTATAGGCTAGCTATTGAGAAGGCGATGCGAGCGGGCCCCAACCACGCTATCGCGTTCTGCTCTTGAAGGCGAGGCTCAAGCGGCCTCAGGATTTCCCTTCTTTTTCATACATTGTATAGCTGCCATGTTCTATGGTTGCTGTACCATTATATAATACCAATCATGCAATATGATTTACCATGCAGCCGTACTGTACTAAAATGGGTCAAGTTCCGCCAAGCCACGTTTGTTCTTTTTTTCCATCACCCCCATCCATTTGCCACTTTTTGAACGTGTGTGAATGGAAGTGAATAAGCCAAATCAAATGACATCTTCGAGGTCTGGCTGGCCATCTTCCTGGGCTGGTTCCTGGTGGCCTTCGTGTCGACTGTCGGGGAGTCGCTGTTTTCCTCGCTTGCTCCGGGTCACGGCAGAGGCCCGCATCTCGGTGGCTACTGGAACCATCTCTGGGAATACTTGCAGTTCATGCTTCCACAAGGTACGCTACAAGTTATGCGCTGCATGAGTTGGTCATATATGGCTACCACATTGCCCCCATAAAAGTGCAATCCTTTCATGTTACCATCAGTTGACATGAAAGGCGGTAGAAGTGCCGATGACATGGGTTTCCTCCTTTATGCCCGTGTACTCTTTCTCGTGCGTTTCTCAATATTATGTCCTGCATTCTCGACTACTTAGGGCTGGGAGTTTGTTGTGACATTAATTAATTGTTATTAATTAATTAATTCCAAGAACTGACACAACACCACGGACGCAGCTAAGCCGGGAGAGCCCATGCCCCTTTTTCGATTGTTTTTGCTTCTTTTTTTTCAATCGGGATTCTTACTGCACGGCTGCGTCGATTGGACCTCTATAAAGCTCGTGTTCAGCTCTTAGAGCAACTCTTTTAGGCCCCATTATTGACGAAATCCTCTCGACCGCAGGCTGCAACAAGCGCACCTCGAGCGAGTTCGGCCGAGTGCTGCTGTGCTTCTGGTTCCTAGCCATGCTTGTGCTCATGTCCAGCCTCGGGGGCGAGCTCAAGGGAAGCCTGCTCGTCAAGGACACCGAAGACCACGTGGACTCGGTGGACGACCTGCTCCGCTTTCCCGCCATACGCATCGCCGCTGAGAAAGGAAGCGTCCACGAGAGATTCTTCAACGTGAGCTATATACGCCTGGCTGCTCTCAATAGGAATAGTCAAAAAAATAAAAAATAAAACTATTTCCATGCCTGTACAATCTGAGCAGGTAGCAGAGCTGGCCTGCAAGCTGCATCACTTGTGGCAAACGCTGAATGAGTTCTATATGCTGTTCTCTCCCTCCTTGCTTACCCTCACTTTTTTTTTTGCCGCCTCAAGACCACGATATGATTACGATGGACGCTGTGGTGTCTGACGCGCCCGTAAATTTAGGCATACCAGCCCCAAACACAATGCCTCCATCAATATGCGGTCGTCGACGTCGGGATTTAATTTTTTCGACTTGCGGGACAGCACTGTGTGCTATTATAGCTCTGTCTTATTTCACTAATTGGTTCGCACACAACACCTTCAGATGGATAAAGTAGATTAGCATTTTTTTTTCTTTTTCCTTTTTCCAGAGACCAGCTCATCCAACGTTCCGCAGCCTGTATCCGCGACTGCAGCCAGTCCGTGGTTCGCTGACGTCGATGGACGTGGCGGCCGCCGTCCTGGACCAAGTGGAAGCCCGGACTCACGTGTTCGTCCTGCCTCTGACGTACCTGAAGGGACTGCTCAACGCGCGCTTCACCGCCAGCGGGGGCCGCTGTCGCTTTCACGTGGTCCGCAATCCGCTCTCACTCACCACGGTCGGCATGTTTCACCGCAAGGACCTCGCGCCCGACACCAGAGAAGCCATCGAGAAAAGGTGTTCGCCGATATCCTTGCTTTGTATAACGTTATGATTTTTCGCTAACGCATTCACTGTTTCACCCTTGTGGCAAAAATGACGTTTATTTATTTTTTCTTCTTTCTACACCAGAGCCCGATACATGATCGACAGCCACCTCTTCGAGCGCATGATTGACACCCGAGTGATCAACTACACTCGCTGCTTGCAGGAGGAAGAAGACCACGTCGACGCTCTCAGTATCGGCGACGTGCACGGAATATTCTACCTGTACTTGGCCGGCGTCTGCACCTCATTCGTTGGCTTCGGCCTCGAACTAGTCGCGCACGCCTTGGCACCTCGCGAGGGAAGCAAGGCGACGAAACTGTCGCTCGTTCAAGCTCGACGCGTTAAGTTGAGTGCTCTCAACGAGGAAGCATAATGGACAAAGTTTTCAGACTAAAAGGGCCCGATAAAAAATAAAACAATAAAAATATAACAGTGTGGCTGAGCCCTCCCTTGCGTTAAACGAGGCAAAAAATAAGGTACATCGATGCGCACATCTGAGATTTTGGTTTTGTTCGCGGTGAACACGTTCTTTGCCTCCCGCACATCGATTAGTTTTTTACCATAAATGTTTAGTTGTTAGTATGCCCTCGTCTTTAATTTTTATTTGTCTTGTCTGACGCTTTATCGCGCAATTTTTCTCCGTCATGATTTACCAATGCGCCTAAAAGTCTATCCCAAGTTACATTGCTAGTTCCTTGGGCTTCTTTCAGTGTTCAACTTTGACTTTAATAAACCACGTCGTACATGTGGCACTCACAGCTGTTTGCCTCTGCTTGGCTCGTCCGGCATTATGACATGTTGCCGAGTAGCCTATGCTAATTAAGAGGCCACTGCACCAACCAGAGGTCAAAGTTCATTTGTGCTGTTGGAGTTGCGCAACAAATCTGTCGACGGGATAATTTTCGGAAACGAATAAACCGATGCCGTGATAGAGCAGTTACACGTGCTGCGTTTGAATATCCAGTATAGATTCCCTCGTTTCGCTCTTTTATTCGCTATTCTTCGTCCATCAGCTCACCTCTCCTGCTGCCCGAGATCTTCTCATCATGCGAGGAGATCAGGATTATCGAAAGGGCCAGAGAGGAGAACGAGAGAAGAGGTCGGATTCTGTTTGCGTCTGTTCATCGTGGTGTCCTGTCCTATATCCATAGGAAAAGGAATTGTTTTTTGTGGCGCACCGGTGGCTCGTCTCGCTGCTGCGTTTGGTATTGTTGATAACTAAGGTTTGCTGAACTTTATGCACGCGTCTACTTTAAATTAAGAAAAAATAAAACGTTTAGGAAGAGGTTTGTGGGCCGTTCAAGGTGACACTAGAGAGGAAAACAATTTTCCCCGTGTTTTCAAATCACTCTCTTACGATGCCAAAAACATGCTCACTGCGAGAGGACGCTTTGTAGGCGAGAAAACGTTCGAAAAAAAGATGCGGGAGGCGCCGCCACCTTGAAGTTCTCGCACCAAACGTCATGACGTCATACATTTTCGATAGCATCTACCAGGAACTAGTTTGCAATCGAAAAAAAGAAGTAAGTCTTCTAAAAGCGCCAAACACATGACTTACCAAGCTTCGATGAAATCCTCTGAGACAGTGCTGCCAAAATATGTCAGGAGTGGTAATATCAGCGCGAAATTTCAGAACACATCCACTTGATCTCAAATGATGGCGAATTTAACGATATTGCTTATTTGTGTTTTGAGATTACAAGTTGCCACTCCAAGCGGATTCGTTATTTCCCTTGAGTGCCTTTTTAATTTCCCATCGCCTAAACTTCTGGACAAAAAGAATGGCTTTAGTTGCACTGTATGCTTTTGGACAAGCTTAGAGCATGCCAAGCTACTTTCGCATAATTTACTTCCAGCGGTGAAATTCGCGGAATCGATACTGGAAAACCAAACAGGCGTCCGCCTCAGCACAATGTCTTTTTATCTATACACCCTTGCACTGAATAAAGTATTGACTAACGTACAAGTCAAACTTTTCGTACGAGCCTCCATAAAATAGTCGATACTTAAGATAGGGCAATTGCGGTTTTTGTAACTGAATGAAACATATAGTCACACGTGTTACTCGAAATGTTTATGAGGCACATGACGTTGTTTCACGCCTAATAGGTTGCAAGCGCTTGAGAGATTTTTCGTTGTTGGACGGTCAAGAATGACGTCAACATCAGAATTTTCATCGGCTTAGCGTGGTTTACAACAAATAATCGTCGAATGCCTTGATTAAAAATAATTCATTGCGCCAAGAATCGACTGCCGAAAAACATTGAATTCGTCAAGTACAAGTCGAATAGCTAGGAATTTGGGTCTCATGCCAGCGAGCGTGCTGATAGCTACTCGGGAAGGAGGATGACAAGGGGACATGAAGATACGCGTAGTGACTGATGATCTTGAGCACTTTTTTTAACACGACAGTGTTTTATGCCAAGGGTCCACCACAGCTCTGCTGACGTATTTCCTTCACTTCCTTCACGAATATGACGTCATGAAATATATGCTACTAGAATGCACAGAAAAAAATTAGAAGGAAAAGCACAAGCGGGGCGTCACACCAGCCAATTATCGATACTCAGTGCGCGGCGCTAGCCACTAAACACGCAGCATTTGTTATCAAACGTTCTAACGGCAAGCTTTTTATATACACCATATATCGTTTGGTGGTCCTCAGAGTTCCAAAACTTCAGCGCATTTTCGTTATCCGTAGTGAGATGGCGTGATGAGCTCGTGTTGGGTAAGGTCCCTAGATGAAACCTTAGTGTTGGGTTAGCGATGGATAGCGTTGGGCGCGGCGCCTGTCGCGTCTCGACGAGCGCCGCCTCCACAGAGCGTGGTCTCTCCTGCGCGCGCTCATCATACTCGTGCTTCAGGAGAGGCCAAAGGTCACTTCACTCGCTGCCGCGGCCGCGTGTAAAAAAGGCGCACACTGCTCACAAGAAGTAAGAATTGTGGTGATCTCGCTACTAATGATATAAACGTGCTGAAGTTGCTGAGCTCCGAGGACAGTCAGCGCTATATGGTGTATATGAAAAATTGCAGACCCTTAGGCTACGTCTTTAAGAGTAGAATGCGATATTCTATGTTCAGTGTGCACTTCAACCACTTGATGCATACTTCTCATTGTATAATGCCACTCGAAAAATTTAGGTTGAAGATCATTACAGCGTAATTGATAACGCTGAAAGTGGCTTGTATCAGTGAAGTTTTTGTATTGGCAGCATTTTGTGTGATGGGTAGCATGCATTAAACCACCAGCGATTCTGCGCTTGAAATCTTTTCGAACTTGCTATGCACCCACCACGTGGTATTAAGGGAATACGCGCAGTTGCGAGTGTGTCTTGTGATGGGTGGCCAGCTTTAAACCACGTAATCGTTATCATATTCACGTGCTCTAAAGCCCGATGGCAATGCACGCTTATACATTGCCGCATTTCTGCGATATTACAGGTTGTATTGAGAAGCACGTCGAAACCGAACTCGAAACGAGCGCTTTGCCCACGTCGAAACGAGCTCTTTACCGCTACCACGTCAATAACTCGCGGTTAGCAAGCTGGACAACGTCCGCTCTGTGGCATATTAGTATTGCGTCACATGCTGTGAAGCGAAAGGTCATAGGAAGCAAGTGCCCGGAAATTGTGGCACACACCCACGCTGGGTGATTGGCCAAGAACCGGGTAGTTCTGACGAATTATTGTTAATTTGTTAACTTACGATTTTTTAACTATTGAAAAAGGGCAAAAATTTAATGAGAATTATACATTTAGAAATAACAAATAGCACCGCCGCGGTGGTCTAGTGGCTAAGGTACTCGGCTGCTGACCCGCACGTCGCGAGTTCGAATCCCGGCTGCGGCGGCTGCATTTCCGATGGAGGCGGAAATGTTGTAGGCCCGTGTGCTCAGATTTGGGTGCACCCCAGGTGGTCGAAATTTTCGGAGCCCTCCACTACGGCGTCTCTCATAATCATATGGTGGTTTTGGGACGCTAAACCCCACATATCAATCAATCAATCAAGAAATAACAAATACGAAAGGTCATACGTTCAACGTCCGGCAACGGATTATTTTTCTTCGCAATGTGTTAAAATTTGCTATATGAATCAAATCGACCTAGCTGTTCCATCAGTCACTCATCCTATGTTACCCTCGCTGCCTTTTATTTTAAATTAGTTGTAATTTTTAAAGTAAAAATTAACCCGCCTGACTACTGGGCAATCTGCACGAGTGAGGAGGTGTCAACTATGAATGTATCATCGTCATCACCCAGCCAGTGGGTTCATGACACCATTGGAGATTACTGTGCCGAGCACCATTTTGCTGTACGGCCGCTAACCGTCAGTTCTTGGTACCTGTACCTATCTGACATTCTCTTTTCGACCACCGCTTCAGGGTGAAGCGATCACAATCTGTGCACAGGGTGGAATTCAGCGGCCTAAGAGGTGAGAGGCCGGCTTTTCTGTAAAGAATTTTTCCCAATACGATAAGGCTCACTGCGTTTACCCGTCTTCTTAAGTATGTGTAGTCTCCTAAAGGCAGGAGACGTGCCTACATCATTTTACTTTGCCATGAAGCATACTCGCGCTCCTAAAACAACAAAAAAGACACTGATTGATGTAAGAGCTTTGTTCAAGTCATCACCGTAGCCGAACGGCCGAACGCCTCCAGAAAGGCACTGTCCACTTCACAAGGGAAATGATGCGGTTCGGGGTCTGCATCCATTCAAGTGATGGTGTCCACCTTGAAGCGGTTGCGTGACTCCACCAGAACTTTCACCTTTCAGTCGTTTAGGAGAGTGCATAAGAAGAGACGCGGCGATCTTCGCTATGCACTCGTCTCTGCCTTTTTTGCTTGTGTAGCGTTCGAGATGAAAACTCCGCACGAAAGCAAGAGGGAAAAAAGCCGCCTGCATCTTCCCACGGGGGCAATTCGAGTAAATGCGCCGTAGTGTGGTGGGAAGGGGTATCGCGTGAATGCTGCATTATTGGGTATGGTTTGGGAATGCTTACTTGTTATTTCGTCTTTATTATTCTTATTTATTGAATGAAGGAGAAGCGCGTTGCCTTCAACGAGTGGTGGAACGCTGATGTTTGGCTCTGTTCCACTACTGGTTGAGGGGTAGTCAGTGAACGGTAGTACAGCACGAGCAGTCGGTCTTTTTACTAGCAGTCGCGGCCTGCGTCGGCGTCGCGAGGCGAGAGGGGTGGAGGGGAGCGACAAATGGCACGAGACGCGAGCATGCGCAGTGGGTGGGTGGCGGCACCGCGACACGGTGCGACAAAGAAGTGCTCCACATTTAAAACATTGCCAACAGAGACAGTATCTCTTAAGAGGGTGCGCGTAGAAAGTGCCGTGTATTCCGACGCCTCTATTTTTAATTATTG